AAAGACTTCGTCCTGGTTTTCAATATGAGCTTCGTTCCCGCCCAATTAGAAAAGCTAAAAGCGAAGATCTACATTTGATTCCTCTTACTTAAACTGCGAAAGACAAACTATGTGAATTCTGTTAAATCAAGTTTCATCACTGATTATTGTAATTGTTTTGGTTGTTGTTTAACTATTAAAAGAAACATAATGAATCAAATGTTTATCTACTCTATGCTCTTGAATGCTTAATTGTCGGATAGCAATGGTCGTCCAATCATATGTGGCACCACATCTAATTCCTTCCCCCAAATCCAAAACTTAAACAGAGGCCAAGTAACAAATGAGAGAGGTCAAATAGAAACATTAAATTTTCAAGGTCTGCAGTAAGTTCAAAAGACGGAGTTGCAATTTTGATCCCTAGAAAGATATAGGCCTATTCGGAATAGGTAAATTGTTATTTTTTAGATGAACAATCTTGGGTGATAGTTTCCATTTATGCTCCGGTGGACAAAAATGCATTTTCTCTACTCTGTTATATTGTCTTATATGTCATCCCAAAGGGTGACAAATTTATAATACTCAGGATCGCAACACATCCCTTATGCTTTCGACTTTGTGCACTCTACACTACCCCCGTCACAAACAAAGTTTGTCGATGTTTAAAGATAAATATAAATTTATTACTCATTTTCGCAAATCACATCCTAATAACTACGACTTTATTGTGTTATCTAAAAAGTGGGAAAATACATAAATGACTAAGCGGAGGCTGCTGCTGCTTCTGCTTCTACAGCAGCCAACTTTGCTTCTTGCTCCTTTTTCCACTTCTCCATCTCTTCCTCCATCCGTCTGTTCTCGGGCGATGCTTCTTCTAACAGGGCCAATTTCTTGGGCTGTTTAATCAGTTCTCTCTTCTCCATCCTCTTCTTCTTCTCGCGGAGAGTAGGGGCAGCTTTCTCTTCTTGTTCCTTACTATAGGGGGTAGTGCTCGTTCCTGTCCTGGTGGTCACCATGTTGGTAGGGGCACAATCAGTACGATTTCACTCCTCAACACGTAGACCTACCCATTCGACTCTCTAGAGGACTACAGAGGTCCTTCTTCAGCTTTAACCAGGTTACCACAGCCAACGGATGCTTTCGCAACCACTGTCACCGAAACTTTCTACAGCCGACAGATGTGAGCACAAACACAGTCACCGAAACCTTCCACAGCCTTCGGATGCTTCCACAATCACTGTCACCGAACTTGCCACAACGGATGTGCTCGCAATCCCTGTCACCGAAACCCACCTGGCTTCCGCTTCAGATTGACACTCTGTCAACTACTCATCTCTAGACTAAACCACACTAGTCTGTCACTACAGGACTTACTGGCTGATCAGGAGGCATTTAAAGAGATCCCCCATAACTCCTCAATAATTCTTTAACATCGCAGACAGGAGGACTATCACATCCTCTCAAGACTTAGACAGACTGGCCACCCGCTCTGCAGCTTGGAGTTCGGGTACAGTACACCACCCAGAGCAACCTGCCAGTCTATACCGGTCCTTGGGGTGTTTTCCCAGGTGGCCTAGCGTCAGACACACCTCAACCCCTACTAAGTCTCGTGCAGACACTGGCTCACAGCCCCTATCTGACCACATGCACAGAGTCTATCGACCTGGACAGAAGTGACTCGATGCAGAAAGAGATGACAGACTACTCTTCAGCAAGTACCAAGGTGAGTGTGCACATCCACGGGGTAACAGGGGTAAGGCCAGGGCTTGAAGGGATTATACCGGTGCACTCTTCGTGCTCCAGCTTGATCAACGGCACTGGTCAACGCTCGCCAATCAACACCGGTCAACCCTCCTTGGTCAAAGCATGCCAGTCAATGCTTGCCGATCAACACTTGATTGAAGTTTGCCGGTCAACGCTTAACCAACCCTCCTTGGTCAACACTTGGCTATGGCGTCCACCTTCCCCTGTGTCACTCTTCTCTCACCTTCGTCACCTCTCTCTCTCTCGCCTACGTCACCTCCGTCCTCCTCCACGGTCGTCTTCTTCCTTCTCCGAGCTTGGCGGCTATGGCCCCCGTCCGCTATGGTAGACTATCTGTTCTTCTTCGCAGGGATCCCTCTTTCTCTCCCTCTCTCTCCTAGTCGCATACAGCTATGGAAGACTCCTTCGCAGCTCTGTCACTATGGCATGGACAACAGGAACCAGCTCCGATAACAGTGAAATGAGACTCGTCTTTGACTTCAGCTCCAGCATGAATACATGCAGATGTTGATGGCAGAATTACTTTCACAAACTCAGAATCAGCAATGAGCGTGAGATGGCACACAGCGCCCACACAGAAAACTCAGATATGTGGCCCTTGGCCAGGAAGTCAGTAAAAGTCAACTGTTACAACTTGCGGCTATGGCCACTGAACACTGTCTGAAGTCCGAACTGAACACTGTTTCCACCACCGGCCTCACCCTCACTCACGCACACATGCACGAAGATCTACCCTGTTGTCCATGTGTCACACACACACACTACTCTGCACACTCTGTTGACTTCAGCAGCTTGGCGGCTATGGCCACCGTCGTCTTCCTCCTCTTAGCTATGGCCACCGTCATCTTCCTCAGCCCACTTCAACTTCGGGCACCTGCAGACCTCCAGTTCACAAGGCGCTCCAGCAGCTCTTCCGCATGGCTCACAGACGAATGAATGAATGGCTGAGCGCTGCAACTTTATTCATACTGTTTCCACAGTAACCTGGCCTGCCCCAGGCCCTGGCCCAGACTGCGTGAGCCTGGAGGGCCCAAACCACGTGGGCTTCCGCATGGCTCACTGGCGAATGAATGAATGGCTGAGCGCTGCAACTTTATTTATACTGTTTCCACAGTAACCTGGCCTGCCCCAGGCCCTGCCCAGACTGCGTGGGCCTGGAGGGTCCAAACCACGTGGGCCTAGGAGGTCCAAACCGCGTGGGCCATAACCTGCTAGGCCCAAACCACATGGGCCCTCACCTGGTACTTGCTGACCGGGCGAGGTGGACTGGCCTACTGCTGACTTTGATGCAGTAGACTGCCTTGCAACTTTCTAGAACCTACAGACTAACTCTTCGCTAACAGCTAGGACTAACTTACCGACTGACCCCTAGGACTTCGAAGAGTTCAGTAGCGACATCTAGAAGACCTATGCGTAGACGGTTAGACTGCTAGTACTAGGGTCCATGGTTGGAGTCCTAACGACCGACTGACACGCATGCTTAGTAACCTAGGGTGTTTAGCGATAGGTTGCGGGTTCAAATCCCTGTAGGATAGGTTGCGGGTTCAAATCCCACATAGGGCTACAGGGTCAATGTACAGGGTTACGGGGTAGGTCTAGGGATCGAGTCCTGATATCTGCAACTGTCGGTTAAACTGTGTGGAACCATTTCACGCAAGGACAACAGGGATAAAATAGAGAAATGGTCCAAATTACACACACACAAAAAAAAAAAATCAGATCTTTCGTCTTCCCGGGAGAAGTATCACATGGCAACCTGCCATTGGCTGAACACAGATGGGATTAAAACAAACAAGCATATGCAGCATCCTCCTGCAGACGTTGTGGACATTTTTTCAAATGAAATTAAATGGCCATTGGCAGGCCCATACACATGGACACAGCACAACCTCCCCCCCCCCCCCCCC